ACAATAGTCTCATTAATATCGTTTTGTAATGAAGTTATAAGTCCTTCATTCTGCATTTGTTTGATGCACCATGCCAGCACTCTTTCAGGTTTTTCACCTTGGTCATAGAATGTCTGTTTAAGTCATAGTAGGCCTGATAGAGCTTTTGTTGAAGATATTTCATTATATTGCATTTTTAGTAGAAGTAGTCCTTGGTGAGTACCTTGAGAGCCTGATTGATAGTATTCTTCTTCTAATTTCTTTATTTTTGTTTCTAATGATTTTGTTTTCTTGTAAGTTTCTTTGGCTTTGGAGCTAGTGATATTAATTATTTGTCCCCTAATAAATGCCTTAAACGCTTCCCATCTGATACTTCCTGAGATCTCTATTGTATTTGTTTCAAAATAGTATTCAATATGATCATCAAGAAAGGTAACAAAGCCTGTATTTGCCAGCCATTTTGTTTTGAATCTCCATTTGGGAGTATCGCAAGTCAATTTGGGATCATAATAGACCAAAGAGTTTGGGGCGTGATCTGACAGGAGTATGGCATCATAGGAAACCTCTTTTATTTAACATTTTAGTATAGCTGAAACCAGAAAAAAGTCAATGTAGGAATATGACTGATGTGTACCAGAGAAGCATGAATATTTTTAACATCGGGATTATCTTCCCTCCACACATCAATCAAGTTATTTTTCTTTCATAAAATGATGAATTACACTCCTGCTTCCTGAATGTAACCGATCCGTTCCTGAACTTTTGTCTCTCTGTGGGTCTAAAGTGCAATTGAAGTTGCCCGCCATAATGCATGCACCAGGTAAAGATGCAATAGTAAGAAAAAGGTCTTGGAAAAACTTTGGCGCATCTGTATTTGGGGCATAAATATTTATCAGAATTAGTTGTTCACTAAGAATTTTCCCTTGAATGATCAGGTAGCGCCCTGCCTTGTCCTTAATAATTTTGTCAATCTGTAGAGGAATAGAGTCATGAACCAAAATCATGACACCCCTTGCCTGAGGTAAAAGGGGCTGACAAAATTTTACCCCTCCACCTCCTCCTCACTTTAAGTTCATCCTTATGTGTTAGGTGAGTTTCTTGAAGAAATACTATGTTAGACTGTAACACTTTAATTCTGTTCATAACTTGTTTGATCCTTTTTGTTCTTTGTAACCCTCTGCAATTCCAGGATGTAATTTTAACCTTTAATTCAACAGACATATAGACAAATGATTTTGTGTTTCCCCAACATTTTGAATAATTTCAAACATTAACATACACCTGAACGTTCCCCCTACAGGTGTCCCTCCCCTTCTAATATTGGACCTCCAGAAAGCAAAGAGCCGGTCCACACAATGTGAGGAACAGTATAACTATGCTGATGCATGATAATAGTAAAAAACAAACCAACAAACAACAAGAATGAATAAACCTAACTGCTCTGCTACTATGCTTCAGATAAGTCTTTTAGAGAAACCCAACAAAAGAAAAACGTATTTATATGTAGCCTACTGAATTAAGTAGTGCATATTAAATCAGAGAGTCGTTTCTTATCAATAGACAGGGGAGGGAGAGGAATCAGGGCAGTATAGCAAATTAAACAACTTTCACTCTGCCCTCTCCTTCTGTCTCTACAAATGCAGTGTATCAGAGTAATGTACCATCAGCGATTTGCATTGCATTTCACATAGTGTCATTTACTCATCAATACCTCAGTCCCGCTAATTATCCGATTGGATCTTCTTAATAAAGTGTTCGGCTTCATCCGCGCTGCTGAAGATGTGCGAGCGGTCATTGTAGGTCACTATAAGCCGGGCAGGAGGAATCATGCCGTACCGGAGCCCCAGAAGTTGCCGCCTTGCCCCCTCGAACTCCTTTAGCTTTTTGTGCGTCTCCGCTGTCTTGTCATGGTAGAATCTCACCGGATGGTTTTTGCAGAGAACCTGCTGTTTTGCCCTGGCCGCTCTCATCACCGCTTCCTTGTCCTTGTAATTCAGAAACTTCATTATAAGGGTTCTCTGTGCGGAGTTAGTCTCATGTTGTCGTCTCGGTCCAAGCCTGTGTGCTCTTTCCACCGTAATTGTCCCCCGAAGCGGAGCCAGCCCCAGTGCCTCCGGTATCCAGCTCTCCAGAAAGCCACAGGTGTCCTCACCCTCCGTACCCTCCGGTAAATTAACAATCCTTACGTTGGACCGACGTGACCGAGCCTCCAAGTCCAGTACTTTCTCTTCGAGGGCTTTATTTTTTCCCTCTAGCTTTTTCAGCTTCTCTTGGAGCACAGCTGCATTATCTTCTGTAGTCGATAACTCTTTCTAAGCAGTCTGTCAAGTCCTTTCTCACACTTTCCATGGCGGTAAGAATGCCATCAAACTTGGTTGAGAACTCGGACTTCATATTGTTGATAGCAGTATTGTCGTCAAAGTGGTACCGGACTCCTCCCTGGCCCTAGTGTCCCCCTCCGACTGCTTGGGGTCAACGCTAGCGGTGGCGCCAGCATCCGTAGTAGGATTCATGTTGCTAGCAGTTAGCTTATCTGTGGCAGTTGAAGTTGCAAAGTTAGTCAGATTGGATTGATGTATCTGGCCACGAGTTGTTTTCTTTGGTGGCATCGGTATTCTTTTCAACACTATTGTTGTTGTCGGGCCGGATGGCGCATATGAATTATGCTTTTAAAAAGGATTTGGAGGTTTGAGTAGCAGAGCAGTCTTACATGCCTCCCTTCAGCAAGCCGCCATAACCGGAAGTCCTGAAGAACCTTTTTAAAGTTTTTACAAATTCTTTCAGCTGCTGCAGACTGTGTCTGTTGTGAAGACATGTTAACACAAAGTTTTATTCATCTACCAAAGTCTCAGCTCCTAACACCCGAGCCAGGATCTGTGTCTGGCAAACTCAGACACACACACCCACATTCCTCATCCAGTTGTCAGACAGCTCTGACCCATTACTGTTCCATTTTAAGTTTTTTACTAATTTCAGGGGGAAATTACTTTTTGCCTGTGCTGTGAATAAAATTACTATTGATCATTAAATGTGGCCATCTTCTGTCATCATTAACTCATTTCAGTCATCACACTTCCTCCCAGTAGGCTACAGTAGTGCAAATCACCACCTATTCTCATTGTGATTAGAAATCTGACACTGCACTTAAGCACATTTAGTTTATGTTAAATTTTCTCACAGTACTAAGTATAGTGTATTTGTGTAAACACTATTTGGGGGTGGGGCTTCCACTGTTTAGATTAAATTCAGTGAGATTTAATCCAACTACAGTTAAGATTGAATTTAGAATGAAAGCACAGTTGAATCAGGAGTGGCCATTACAGACAGGAAATTAGTTAGTGTAAAACAGTTCAGCAGTGCTGACCATGGGGCTTCATCAGAGATGCTCTCTGCTGCATGCAGTGACTTGGAGTCAGCATTATTACACTGTTCAAGTTCAAGCCCCTTATGCTGCATGAATCTTTAACAGGCATCTGAAAGATTAATAACACTCTTAACATACTTTCACTAAATGAGTTACATATTTTACCCGTATTACTGTGGGCTTGTTAAATCATGTGTGTTTTACTGGTTTTAACTGTAGATGTTCTAAATATTTTAGGGAATGAACCGAAGGCCAGTATTGTGAAGCAAGTACAACATACCCAGGGTAACCTTTCGTTATCTGGCTTAACTGAACCTAACATTGACCGTCCTGGATAACCTGTACTACAAAGTTGGTTATGAACTTGCTCAGTTAACCCTGGATCCAGCTAGGAGTGTGTTCTTGTGAGAGAGGCGGAGTTGTTAATTATGAGCTATATGTCATCAGAGCCATGAATAAAGTACTTAATATGATATGAGAAGAAACGCTTATGCCTGCAGGCAAATTCAGTTATAGCGACATCTAAAAGTAATATTCAACAAGGTGAAATGTAAACATAAGTTATGTGAACATAACTAGAATAAAAAAAAAATTCTAAATATAATTTCTATTGAAGTCAGGCAAAGGATATATTGTAAATAAGTGCATGAATTATCAATTATCAAGTTTATTACTCTGTATTTTCACTCTTTCGTCTGATGAACAAACTAATATGAACATGTGATGCAGAAAAAAGTTAAAGAAGAATGAAAAGAGAAGTAGTTCACTAAAATGTTTAAAATGTATAAATCAAATTTCTAGACATAGGAAATATCCAACAGTGTGTGGATCATTTTTCTAATCAAAGACTTCAGAGGTTGACCATTTCACAGCGAGGGAAAATGCCTCGGGGGTCCTCTGTTCCACTGCCATCTGAAAAAACACTGTTCTGAAATTTTTTTTAATTTCTTTAAGTAAAATGCTATTCTTAGACCTGTGGTGAGATTTCAGTTTGTTTGGCTTTTCTCAGTACACGTGGCTGATGTCCATATGATGGGGGTGGATGTGGCTTTATGTTTTATCACCTATATTCGGGTAACCAGCTGCTTCGCAGTCAGAGGGAATGGCTCTTTCTCTGTGCTGCAGATGAAGACCTTATACACCAACTATCCTGCTAAGACTGAAAGTAACAAATCATTCTGTTAAGTTCTGCTTTCCTTTGAACTCCTGCATCTGGCCTCCACCTTACTTCTTCTCAGTGGGGATCTGGATGGGGAAAACTCTTTTTTGGTCTACAAGAGAGCTATCAAAGTGAACTCTCGCTCCAAACATAAATTAGAGTCAGTTTGATCACACATAAATTGTTTTACTTCTCCTGTTTTTCATGACACTATAATCTGCATTCACAGAGAGTGAACATAGAATGTGTTTTAATTCAGAAAGGGACCTTGTCAGTGAGTGTTCTGCTTGGCCAGACAGGGCCACAGCTGTTACTTGGCAGAGATTCAGGGGAGTCCAGGCCGAAGGTCTTGGCCAGACATAGGCCACATCCTCCTGTCTACAATACGCTAAACTCTTTAAAATGGTAAAAGGACTTCTTAAAGTGTGTTTTTCCACCTTTAGGTTTACCCCTCCAGAGGCTCTATGGTTCTTTCTGAAAACTGAAATCCTCAGTCACCTGGTTCAGAGTCCACATGGGAGAAGCAAGATGGCACCAAGACCACATATCAGCTCAACAACTGCTGTCTGAGATCCCTCAGCCTTATTAAACACATCCTGGAGAGAGTCCCTGTGCTGCAGACCATCTCTGCCTCTGCTCTGCTGATTCTGCTTCTGCTGGTGATGACATGAAATAAATGATTGAAATAAAAAAATAAAAGATTAAGGCTTTGAGTCATCTCAGTCAGTGCCCAGCATCACATTACTACAGAGCATCAACACAAGCTTCTAACCCTTGCAGTTAAACTAGTGTGTGTGTGTTTCAACAACACGCTTCATTGGTCACAGCTTCACACCACATGAAACATCATTTCATACATGATTTCATCCGTGAACCACCAGCTAATGAGCCAGATCCACTCCCATTGGCCCCGATATAGGTCAGGTCTGTCCATTGGGGCATGATGCCATGGTACAGCATATTCCTGTTCACTGTATGTGCTGTGAGATGTGATGGACGATCCTAGTATTTGATAGCCATCCTTACTATGTGCATTTAGCAACCTGAAGTCAGTGCACATTGTACAGCTGACTGCATTCATGGCATGCAGTCTGTAAATGTGCAGTAATACAGTGGAGCATTTGTAGAACAGCATGAAATTGTTTAGTGAAAGATGTCTGACTATAATGGAAAAGTGGCCACAACTGCTAAGAACTGCTTCAGTTTCAAGAGGCACTTAGTGATGATGTGACTGCTTGGCATAAAGACAACAGATTTCTGTTATAAAAGAAAAAACGAGTATAACACAATAGAGAGAAAAAAAATCACATAAACTAATCTTACTCACCCAAAATCCCAACAACAAAAAGTTTGAGCACTGCGCTCTCATGTGTATCCATCTCGCTGAAACAATCCAGTCCGACATCAAATGAAACCTCAGCTGCAGCTCCGTAAACATGGACATTTAAAGCGAACCATAATTAAAACTATCCTCAATATTCCGTCATGATATCACAAATCCAGACTTGGAGCGGAAGGGTAAAACCAGAAAAACAGAAGAAATCTGATCCCAGAGCGAGATTCCGGTGAGATTCTCAGGATAATCGCGACCACTTCTGAGCCGAGAGGAGTCAAGAGCTCAGGACCAGTCAGACTGTCCCGCATCCTCTGCGGGGGAGGAGGGGGGAGGGGTTCCCCCAAAGCACTGATAATGGATTATCTTTACTGAATAACTGCGAAGACTAAACCTCGGTAGTTCCCAGCATGCTTTGCGGACATTTAAATGTGACACAGGAAACTGATGGAGAAGACAGAATAAGAATCCAGCAACAGCGCAAATAAAAAATACTGAAATGTTTTGGCTACTCTTTTTCTTTGTTTCTTTGTTTCTCTCTTTGTTTCTGTCTTTCTTTCTTTCTTTTTTCGTTTTTCTTTCCCTCTCTCTGACAGTCTTATTGGTGAACCGCTAGTAGACTAGCTAGTAGATATTTTTTCTATGAAACAACAATGACCTCTTGTGGTTTTCTTTAAAGCTTGCACTTGGATCAGTCTGCATATGTCTGGATTCAGCACTGAAAATGGTTAAAGTTGAAATCACTTAACCAAAATGATCACAGTTGACAATGTCTTGTTTTATCAGTGTGTACATTGGTGACAGAAACTACAAATTCCAGTAAGACATTACGGTTTAAATTATGGGAGACAGAGACACGGTTATACCAGTTAACACACTTTATTATGAACACCTGTTCACCTGCTTGTTCATGCAGTTATTGAGTCAGCCAATAATATGGCAGCAGTACAGTGTATAAATTCTTGCAGATACAGGTCAGCTTCAGCTAATGTTCACATTAAACATCAGAATGGGGACAAAAGGTGATCTCAGTGACTTTGACCGTGTCATGACTGTTGGTGTCAGCCAGGCTGGTCTGAGTATTTCTGAAACTGCTGATCTCCTGGATTTTCATACACAACAGTCTCTAACCTACAATTTTCAACCAGAATGAAGCCAACAACAAAAACATTCAGTGAGTAGTTCTGTGGGCAGACACCCTGTTGATAAGAGGGGTCAGAGGACAATGACCAGACTGGTTGGAGCTGACAGAAAGGCTATGGTAACACAGATAAGCACTCTTTTACAACAGTGGTGAGCAGAAAAGCTTCTCAGAATGACCAAGATGTCCAACCTTGAGGTGGATGCACTACAGCAGCAGAAGACCAATTCAGGGTTCACTCTTGTAAGCCAAAATGAGTATTGTTGTTGACCATGTGCATCCCTTTATGGCCACAGTTCCATCAAGAAAATGTTCCATGTCACAAAGCAAAAGTAATCTCAAATGGGTTTCATGAACATGATCATTTCAGTGATCTCCCCAGTCACCAAATCTGAATCAATTAGAACAGCTTTGGGAAAGAACAGAAGATGAATGTGCACTGCTGCTATCACGTGACTGGACATAAAAATGTTTCTTGTCTTCATGTCTTATGTGGAACACAAACTTGTGCACAGTTCCCTGGAATCATGCATCACTTTATCAAAAACAAAAAACAGTTCTGGTTAAATGTTCCCAAATTGTCTTTAAATGCAGGATAAAGACCATCAGATGTATGCGCTACTGATAGGGATGGGGAATTGTAATGTAATGCGATTGTCATTTGAATTAACACATGCATCTTGTGATTTATAAAAAAAAAGTTTGTAGGCTATTTAAGGTTTTGCAGAAACTTTCTTCATGTATCTTCATGTTGCTGATCACAAGATTTAGCAGTTTATCTTTAAGAATGTGATTTTTTTTAAAAATGCCATAACAGAACAGCACTGAGCATCAAGCAGCTGCACAAGGAAACGTGGCTGACGCAGGAACCGGTAGTGATTGCATGGTCTCACCTGTCTGACAGTCTGAGGTGTTGAACTTTAACCTCCACCTTGACACTGACATGGACGTGCACTTGGATCGTCCCCAGTTCGGTTTCTGTGGGTTCCACGCCACATTTTTAAGATGCTTTGTCCTGTGAGCCTGAGCAGTGAAGGCTGACTGAACCGGTTCAAATAGGATGTCAACAAGTGACGCAGGAGAGTTGGAGCTCAGAGTTGTAGGAGAGAGAGCGACGTTTCAGAGCAGGACATCACGAACCGCACGGACCGCTGCTGCGAGGTAAATACACCGTCTTTAAAGCTCATTTTATCAACCACTTTGTAACTGTACTGTATGTTATGGTTTTCATCGACCTGTTAAACGTTGTCGCGCACTTTCTGTGTCTCCGTTTCCTCGCTGGAGACTCTTTTTGCCGCGTTGCGAGACGTTCTGGTGAACGGAGATAAACCAAAGCCGAACTCCTTTTGAATATCTGTATATTCAACGCTGCAGTGCTTGTCTGAAATCACATACATGTCTCACAGCTAAACGAAAACTTGTAACGATGCATGGCTTCATTATTAGTAAATTCGGCATTAAAATATTCCAATCATTTCATATCTTACTCTTGGTTAAGCAGCATCATACTGCCCAGACCTTATTTGACCGCACAGGCGGCCGGAAATAACTTATGATAAAAACCAGAATTTTACTTAAATGTGTTTAATAGAGTATTTTAGATATATTTCAGTGTCAAAATTATGGTAACTTGTCTCCCAACACTAATTTTAAAAGCGTGTTCCTGCTCTTGGTTTGCGTAAAATTGCCATTTAAAAAAAAAAAAAAAAAAAAAAAAGGTTTGGTGTGACATGCTCTTTCTCTCGCTCATAAAACGTGACGTATGTAAGTTATAGTCAATATACCTGAGCCTGTGCTGGTGTGTGTGGATGAGTTTGTCATACACTTCAGTAGCAGTGTAACACTAACACAAGCTACTCTAAACTAGCGTCATCTGGTTCAGTTAAGATTGTGTCCAGTTCAGCTTCAGTGGCTGAGCAGGCCCACATTCAGGCCACTCCAGACCTGTTACTACTGTGGATACACAGTGCAGCTGGCTGTGCATGTCCACAGCTTACCCTCTACGCCCCACCCCCCTGTATACCCATTTAATAACCCCCCCACATACCCATGTATAGAAAGATAAACAGCTCTGCTGAAGGTGTGGCAGCAAACAGAACAAGTCTCATTCTGTCCTCCTCATCTGTTCTACAACTCATGAAGTCACTGCAAAGTCATTAAGTTGTCTCTGGATGAAGCTGGAAAAGACGTTTAGGGTGTAGATCGTTTGCAGTAATTGGAACATTACATGGGTTTGTCAGTACTGAGCACACACCCACACTTTAGTGCAGGCTGGATCCTTGTGGTTATGTAAGCTGGCAGATCCAAGAACACACCCACAGCCAGGCATGAGACTCATAGCACACACTGCAGCTGAGAGTCTCTCGCAGATAACAGTCAGTCATCAGCTCACAAAGCATGAAAACAAACAGAGATACAGTTCACAAACAGCGTATGTGTCACATGGCTGCAGCCCTGACTGCAGGCTGCAGTGTGTTAAGGTTTTATCAACAGGTCAGGGATCACTAAAGACTGGCCTTTTTATGGATTTAACTCTCAAAATGGGAACTTTTGCAATAACAGTCCATAGTATAATTTAAATTAACTCTCACTCTTTTATTTGAAAAAGAATACCTCCTAAGTACTACTACAAACTACAATTATCTCGATTATTTGTTCATCTCTAATTGAATGTTTCAGATTATTTATTAAATGTAAAATGTCAGAAAATAGTGAAAAATTACACAAATCTGATTTCTGTTTTCACTGACTGAAATTCAGTTTAATATAAAACAGAAAGGAACTGGAGAATATTGGATATTTTTACTTGAACAGTAAATTAACCGATACATTGTATGCTGAGAGATGAATTCGTACTTGTAGATATTTCTACAGAAACGGGAAAGATCATGAAGTAGTTCAGCTAATTTTAAAAAAGTAGACAAGATTTTATTGATAATATTTGGAGTTGAAAGAACTGCCAATTAATCAAGTAGTCAATCAACATAATATTAATTTGCAATCATTTTGGTTGTTGATTAAATGTACAATCATTTTTAAAGCAGACCTGCCAAGAATTCACTGCTTACAGCTTCTCAGACTTGAATATTTTCTGGTTTCCATCATCCTCTCTGATGACAAATGAATATCGATCTCTATCTTTACTTGTTAGCCATGATAAGTTTGAAATAAAATAAAGAAATGTTGGCACTGAGAAATTGTGATGGTGATGTGATTCACTATTTTCTGGCATTATAGACCATTAATTGATGTAGAAAAAATCCAAAGATGAATCAATTATGAGAGTAGATCATAGATGCTGCCCTAAAATATGTAAAACTATATTCACTGGAAAATCAGCACACAAAGAGAATTACAAAAAAATGTCATACTGGTCTTTGGTATATCAATTGTTATTAAATCAGTAATCTTCCAGCTGCAACACCTGCAGTATCCTTGATTTAGAGGCTGGAAGAGGCCAGTGAAATCTTGGCATTTATGCTTCAAAAGTTACTTAAAGCAATCAATCATTTATGAAAATTGTTTGACATTAATTTAATTTCAGCTTTAGCTGAAAGTGATGGATAAAGGGCTGTAACATCCAGCTACGGACACTGGATGTTATGGTGGTGGAAGTACAAATGCAAACTTGAGTAAAAAAAGAAAAGAAAAAGAAGACTAAGCCTAAACACTGAGAATTCCAGGATAACTGTGTTTTGTATGGATTATAATCTGCAGCCACAGATCCACCACAGATGTGTGGTTTCGCTGAAGCATTTTCTCTGCTGTTCAGGCTGAAACAGTTTATCCGGTCATTTATTAGTCAATCAAAGGGGAAAAAACAAGTTTTCATAATCCATCATTTAAATCACTCTCTCAAAGAAAAAATGCTAAACATGTGCTGATTCCTGCTCCTCCAAATGTTAGGATATACTTTTTTGTATCATTGTTGATAGAATCTTTGGGAAACAGTGACAGAACGTTTTCACAGGCTTGTGATTTTTCTTATAGACTAAAGATTAATTGTAAAATGAATCCACAGATTCAACAACAATGGATGTAACCCTTAGTTGCAGACCTGCTGTTGAGCAGTTACAGTCCAATCTATCTAAGGAGAAAATGATCCAACCAGCTGTGTTGGTAAACAGAATCAGATAATCATTTCAGCTGTGAGACACTGATGACAGATTGCAGATGCACTGTACCTTTGAGCTCAGGTGAACATGTGATCATGGAGCAAGAGGTATAGCACATGATGTTAACAGCAGGTCCTGATGCTCCACCATCACAGGCCTATCACTTACTGGTTAAATTATCTAAACATGGTCACTTACAGGTTTACACTAACCACTAATATGGCTGTGATGTCATAAGATTTCTTGTGTTGCCTCCAGCATAGGCAGGATTAAAAGCACTCTGTTCCATCCACATGAAAGGTGTGTTGGTCTTGGCACTGAGGTAGCTGCTTAAGAGCAGGAAGATCTCCCTCCCTGCTCATATTTCTATCTGCTTCTCTCTCATGTCCCGTCATGTCATGCTTTTATAATAGTCTCAGAAATTTTGCTCTAATGAAGACAGTGAGTCAGCCCTGAAAGCAGGTGAGAGGTGGAGCTCCGTGTGATGGTCCTTGTTACTGAAAAAGAAAAATCAAAATGATTCACTCTGTGATGAAGCACCACAGGTTTTATCAGGCCTCTGGATCCTAATCAGTGATTTCCATCCACACATCAACTGTTGAGATGAGATAAAAGAGAGTGATCCTGGAAACATCTGTGACAGACCATTTGTTATGTTAATCAAACAGGTTGCAGTAACACATACATTCATATTTGGAGCTCCACCTCATCTTTGTTGTGTATCACCATTGTGGCTGGTGGTTTGGTCATAGTTTGGGTTCAGCATTGAGCTGCAGCAGTAAATGTGCATATGCATGTTAGAGTGAGTGGGTGTGTGAGTGCTTTACTCTGGTTGTAAGAGAAAGTGTGGAGTGGGCAGAGTTGGATTATTATATAACCACATCCTATCTGTGTAACACAGTCAGAGTGATAAGAAGAGGGAAGCATGGCTGTTTTAGTTTTCTGCCCTCTTCTTCTTCTACACTGTACCAGTCAGATTACAACCACTCTCTGTAATCTAGTGTATTGCATAAAGGTTAGGAGATGCTTGGGACTAATGATTAAATCATTAATTGATTAGTCTGTGTGGTGGAAATTCTGTAATAAAAATGGCTCACAATCAAGAGAGTGTCTTTCTGAGTTTATTATCACTCTTGCAAGTGGGGCTGTTATAATTTCAGAAAGCAAGAGCAATCATCTTTCTCAAACAGTTACAATAAGAAATTACACTTTGCAGCTGTGTCTCGATACATTTGATACATTAGGTACACAGACTTACATACCTCTTTAAAAACTTTAAGGTTAAAAACGTCATTCCATCCTAGTTTTATCAGATTGGTCTTATTTTTTTCTTTTTTTGTCACAACAGTCTGCAACTATTTTGATAATCTATTTATCGTTTTAGTCATTTTTCAAGCAAAAATACCAAACTTGTGCTGGTTCCAGCTGCTCAAATGTGAGGACTCTCTTAGTCATACATGACAATAACCAGAAGCAGTAATGGATAATACAAATTTTTGGAACACCCCAATTTGATGCTGGTAAAGAATTGGCTGCTTAACATTTAACTTATGTTTGTGTATGCAAGGGTTATGGTGTAACTATGGAGCCTCTGCAGGTAGCCACAGAAAATGCACCAGAGGTTGCATCAAAGCTGATATACTCCTCTTCAGAAATGTAAACACATGTCAGGGCTACGGCATCTACAGGGACACCATGTGGGGACCACAAGAACTGTGGGTGCTGGTGTTTTTTCCCTCAGTTTTCTAATGATATTGACACTGTGGGGAATGTAATTAAGGCCCAGTTACACGTGATACTGTCCATGATAAGCCCCGATGGCAAATGCTGTAGGTTGTATCTACGCTTGATCGTACCTCCTTCATCAAGGCACTACCAGCTGCCTCAGTAGGGCTGCACAAGGACCGGTGGTGTAAGGGCTAGAACAAGCAATCTTTAGCATTTTTGCATGAGTAAAAGATTGAAATGATGAATCCATCATTAGAAATTAATGAAGATGAATTTCGTCACTTTTTTGTGTTTTTTTTTTTTTTTTTTAGAGCACAGCAGAACGAAACATTTGGTGTGAGGTTCCAGCAAGAAGATCACCCTGGTGATGAAACCACAACAGATCAAGACCATCACCTATCAGCCATCAGCCAGAAGGGACCACACAGAGGTTGAACACGTGCACACACACACACACGCGAATATAGACACAAATAACATTTCTGATACAAAAACATGAAGAATATATTTAACCTTAATAAGTTCAGTGTGCAGCACTTAATGAGCTGCCCTGAATCTGTTGCAGCACTGATATCTGGAGCAGACAGAATAAAACAGAAGGAATCTTCTTACTGTGCTGGTTCAGAGATCCAGATCCAGAAGCCTTCTGGACCTAGATTCGCCACCTCTCTCTTTTTAACACTTTCCAAGAGTCTAAGCCTTGACAAACAAGAACTAAAACTCAAACTGAAGTCTGACTACTGTCCTCACAGGTAAGCCAGGGTAAGACACATATTAATGAGATTCAGAGCTTTTCATTACAGTGCAACAGAAAGCAGGCTTTATCATGCCAGCAGTGTTGTGCACAGTATCCACTTTGAACAGAATTGGAAGATGCTTCTGTTGTTCTCAGTCCTATTTAAGGTCATTTCAATCAGGTTTTCCAACATTAAATCAAATGGTAACTGAACCACTCAACCCTGTCTGCGTACTTTAGCCTGTGACACCCTATCAGGAAGAGTCAGCAACTTGGATAAACAAGGAAGTGCACCTAACAGTGATCCCCCTCCAAGGCTAATATGTTCTAGTGAATCCAGTATATAGAGATATAAAGCTATTACCACCCTTTCAGGAACCCTGACCATACATTCTCACAGTTTACAGTGTCATAAAGTGTCATATATCATCTACAGATCAGCAGCACAGCAGTGTTTGAGATTACTTTAGGTTAAACCTGCTGCCTTTCTATTTAGATCAGATCTGATATGACATAATAACTGCTTAACTGCGTAAAAACTGGTCGAGTATGTACTGCAAAGTTTCCCTTGTACTTATTTGCATAACAGGGAGTTGTGCACACTGTGCCAGAGGTTTTATTAGACTCGTCAATAAAGATCATTGATTAAACAGGCTTTATTGGTTCAAGAGACACACCTCATCAACTCTCTGAGCCGCCTGCAGTCACACCAACATGACCTTATATAGACATAAAAGTGTGCTTGCGTGCGTGTGTGTGCATGCAGTAGACACGTGTGATCCATGTGCTGCCATGTCCAACATAAAGATGCCCTGCAAGCGCTTTAATAAATGGTTGTGAGGTGTGCACAAGTGACAGTGAGAACAATTTAGTAGAGGGGGACAGAACAGAAGAATGCTGAGCATCCTGTTGATCCACATTGCTGTGGTGAATGTGAGACATCTAATCTCTCAGATGTTTCACACAAAAACATTACAGCAGAGCTCAGGAAGCCAGGGTATGTCTGAATGAAATATGAGAGTGTGTTTTCTGAGAGCAGATATTACACTTATTGCTGCTGAGATACCTTATTAATTTTCACAGTTTGTTATCACAGTCGTAAAATCGTGAAACACTTTATTTTCACATCCTAACTATCATGTTCATAAAGTCTCTGTGAAAACAAGAAGCCCAGATCACTTCCCTGTTTCCCCATCTCAGTATCAAAAATGATCTTTCCTCAGGCTGTCAAACAGGTAAAGTGCCCATCAAATATCAGTGAGAGTATATTTATTGTAAATACATACTACAATTGAACATAAATTATGACAAAAACAAAACTTCTGTATCGTCTAGATGATTTAACTGCATTGTCAAATTTATTCCTCTTCGCCTTCAATTTTGGTGTGAATAACTCACCCAATAATAATGAGGCAGTCAACAAATATATAATCAAAGCTCAGTAGCCATAGTTCAAACTCACTATGTTGGGTAACTGCAACAAGTTGTGCATACTGTCCATAATGTTCAGTCTACAGGTAAGTGACAGGTGTAATCCTGACTAGTATGTCTAATGGTTTTTATGTGTCTGCTCTCTCCTGTTTTGCCAGTTCGACTGAACCATGGAGAGCTGAGACTGGGGACAGCTACTGTCAGGTAAAGATCATCCACAGTCTTTATCATAATATATCATAATCTAAATGGAACACTGGTTTATAATCTGACACAGAACAAATGTTAATCCAAAATATTCCCAATAAATCAGTGCTTCAGGTACATAATTTAAAACAACAATTTCAAAGCCATTGAAATTCTCTGAAATCATAATAGGTGACAGTGCATACAACACCTGAGATTGGTTATTATTTTAAGTATTAGAAGGGGCAGGGTGTGTGTGCTTTGTGTGTGTCCTTGGAAATCTCTCATGTCTTTCAAAATAACCTGTTTGTCAAGGGCTGAATCTCTTAAATAGTTACACCATGGGAACAGGAGCTTTAGAGAAACTGTGGCTTCTGCCAGCAAACAATTTACAATTCTGATAGCATGCTCACTGTAACTGCATTTTACTTTGCTGTGCACAGAATTTGCGTTGGTATGATATGACCGAAGTTGACATATGAAAAGAGTTAAGATACAATGATATGGACAGAGCTGTACATACCTGGTCTGTGGTTATAAATACAAGTCTTCTCTGGGAGGTTATGTGGCCATATGAATCATTATCTGGGTAAATTTATTTAGAAAGAGCATGAATGAAATTTAAAACCTTAATTTTAACATTATTTCTTAGTTAAATAATTAATGTAATATGGTTAATTCATCTTAAAATTCAAGTTGCAGTTGTTTGGCAAATTGCTTTTTAGTACACAACATCTTTTTTCTGCAGTAATTCTTTTCCTTGCAACAGTTTAACAGACGAACATCACCATCAGAAACCCCCACAGAGACGGACAGTGACTGCCTGTTACCAGAGACAGTACCATTTCCAGCCTCGAGGGAAGAAGTTATCATAGTTGTTTGCAATGAACTGGAGACTAACAGGAACTTGAGTGTAAATCATCATTTGTCACATGGTGACTTGGGACCACATGAGCATAATGGCTTGCACGTATTTCTATGTGGGGCACAACCAAAAAGGACTAGCTCTGGATCAGAAGAGCTAGAGGAAGATATAAAGGACCATACACCATACCAAAAGAATTGTGAGGAATTGTCCAACCCTGCTGTAACCATGCTGTCTTCCACAGTAGTCACGGTTCTTGCTCCACACTGGAGTGGCCGACTACGACGGACCAAAAGATTTGAGGGAACTGGAAATTCAGAAGTCCAAGGCAGTTTACAAGATGTGACAAACACTGTGGCAAACCATGCACATGGATGCTTTCAGGAGACTCAGTACCAACATGGTGTGGAGAGTGTGTTGACAGATGAATTGCAGGCCCAACTGAGAGTCCCATTTCTGGGTACCAGGAGGAATACAGTGGACCAGTCAACTGAGAGTGGTCCTGCAAGACTGGAGTATGACTCTAAGAGGAAAATTATTCAGACTGTCTCTCTGGATGTAAACTCTGGGCAAATGGACAACAGGAAACTAGATGCAGGTGCTATAAGCCCTCTAGTCACAACTGCATCTCCACTATCTCCCCTGTGCTGTAGCCCAAATGAACAAAGGAGACATCCACAAACTGGCCATCAAGGAGCAGTCTCAGCTTTAAGCTCCAAACCACCAACTAGCAGTCTGCTTCTGTCTTTAAGAAGAATCAACTCCAGTGGCCGGAGCTCTAATGCAGCCTCCACCTTCTCTGAGGAAAACCCTTTGACAAGTGATCTTGAAGGAAACCTGATAGCGACAAACCTCTGTCAAACCTTTCTCAACAATAATGAGCAAGAGAGGCCAAAGTCCTGTCTCCCTCCATCGTCCATTTCTTATAGGACAACTCGAACCCGGTCTGTCCTTTCTCAGTCATCCTCCAACCACAGAGACGGGAACATATCTGAATCACACATCTTTTCAACTGCACCTATAAAAAGGGACACAGAAGAGACATCCTTTACCCAACAACCCCAAACAGGTTCCAAACTGGCATTTCTGAGTAGAGGAACAACAGAGAGGCAACAGAACTGCAGGGGTTCAGATAAAAATACAAACCTATCCCCAAAGAGCTTAGTCTCCTCACCAAGACATTTCCCATATGATCCTTCTGCCCTCCTAAAAACCCGCTCCCTTCCTAGAGGGACCACCCTGACATCCACTTCCTGGTGGAAACAAGTTACCCCAGAAGACAGTTCCCCTCTAACCGCCAATGATCCAACCAACATCAAAGACCAGCTGGACACACCTTGCAATGATAATAGTGGCTTGGTTTCACCAGGTCCAACTGACAACAAAAGATTCAGTAGTCAAATCCCCAATAACAGAGACAACAATAACACAGCAGAGTCAGTTTGCAAAGGTAACATGAACATTGTTATGAAGATTCAGAGAGGAACTCCCAACCTCAAAGAAAGAAATTCTGAAGATTCACCTGACCACAAATCAGACAGGCTTTCCAAACAGCAATACCGTTCCAATTTTAACATCCAAGAACCACAAAAGCCTTATCATGTGCCTGATGGTTCGTCTTTGTCTAAAATTACCAGAGCTACACCACAAACAGCACTGAGTCATCTTAAAGATCTCAGCAAGCGTGATGTAAGTAATAGTTCATTTACAGACAATGTCACTGTATCACCACCTACTTTGCTTAATCCAAAGAGCTCAAATACACCCACTGAGAGCAGCAGAAAATACAATAAAAATCACTGCTCATCCAAAACCAACAGCACCTTTGCATCTCCCCATAACAAGGAAAAGTTTGCCAAACACTCTCTTTCTCTTGCTACGACCATCACTCACAACAGTAAAGGTCTTACTTCTAAAGCTACTTCTGGTCTCCCCCCAACCCCAAACACTAATACTAGTTTCTCCTTCCATTTTCATCCAGTTTCTTCTCAGGCCAGTACTTCTGCACACACTGGCTCTTCTCCCCAAACACCCAAATTCACCAGCACAACCACACCTCTTGGCTTTGAAAGAAGCTACGGCTCCATTCCCAAACCTTTCCAGTCTAAAACAGTGTCCAGCCTGATCCCCACAGTCAGTGCTTTGTCTAAAACAAAGTATAGCCATTTATCCACTGCATCCATTACCTCTTCAACCACATCTGACCCCAGCCCATCACTTCTTACTCCTCCTACTACTTCTGCCATTGCATCTTCTCCCACCACTACCACCCTCCCATCTCTGCTAACCCCCCCTCCAACCCCAATCATTACTAGCCCCATCTACTCAAAAACTCCCATCCCTAAGGAAGGGAGGACATTCTCAGGCAGCCCAGAAAGAGACCTAAAGACACCGCGCCCCCGGGTAGAGGGAAAGAGAGTGAGACGAGTAACGTGGGAGGACTCGGTGGACCTGCAGCGTTCAGAGCCTGTCACAGTGGAGAACCCACATCTGTCTGGAGCCCCAACTACTCCTCTATCTCCTTCCAGGTCTCCCAGATGTGTTAGAGCTCCCTTCATTTTCTCCTTTCTAAGATCAAACAGTCCAACCACTAATACATCTCTGTGCTCCCCTAACCCCAAAACCTCCAGGATAGAGATAGGGAAAGGAGGGAAATATCGTTCCCTGTCATCTGACTCTGCTGATTTAACATCCAGAGAGCAAGAGAGTTCCAGTCAAAGACTGTGTGACACTACAATCTCTGACCAGGGAAAACATGACCTAACCACACCCAGGCAGGAGAGGACACTATCAGTGGAGTCTGGCACAGTCCAGTGCAGTTCCTCTGCTCTTCTGTCCTTCCCTCCTGACTTTTCAAGTGCTTATAAACTTCGTTATAGCTCCACACCCTACTCCACTCTTATGTCTAGCAGGTCAACACAGGGAGAATCTAAGACTTTAACACCCAGATCACCCCTCTTCCAACAAGCCTCTCAATCAATTTATAGTCCACTTCTTTCCTTACATACTGATCCAGGTGCAGCCATGACCATACCAACTTTCAAACCTCCTCTGTCACCTATCAGCCCACCCCAGATCTTATCTTTGCCTTTCCAAAACAAAGCTGCCACACAAGACAGTTCAAAGTGTGGGGTTTCAGAAACTGATCAAGTCAACAATAATCATGGCAAGAATATCAGCCAAGATCACCAGAATAGCCAAATATTACTTGTCAACAACAGATTTCATGTCAGCTCACAGTGTTTGCAGAGTGATAAGCCACACAGCTCCTCTTCAACATGTGTAACTGAGACACTGGTTTACAGCATTAAATCAAAAGTAGATACAGCTACAGCTTCCCCAAAGAACACCATATCTAAACCTTTGCAACATATTGCAAACACAGTGGTTTCTTTGGAGACCAAGTTAAGTCAACAGCCACACACAATGCAGAGTAAGGGAGCGTCAGGTGAACCATGTAGTCAGTCGGATCAGAGCTCCAGTGGTGGCAGCTCAGCAGAGAGTCAGTCCCAGGATGACGAAGGCTGCAACAGAAGAACGAAGGAGAATGTACTGGGTAAAGGCAGATTCTTCTCAGTGGAGAGCAGCAGTGAACAAAGCCCAAAGAGAAGCCGGTTTGCACTGAAGAGAAGTGTCAGCACACCAAACTCCACTTTGCCAAGGTCAGAGTCAGAGAGGGCCAACAAGACCAACAACAAAATGGACCAGGTCCTCAACAGACTGAAACAAACATTCAGCACTAGACGGTCTGATGACGATCTGTCATTTCCATGGAAATGGAAACGGTCCTCCCAAACACCTTCAGTGAGTGACAGTGAAATCAATGCTGATGGAAGCAAAACACTAGAAGAGCGAGAGAAAAAGGGGGAAATGGTGTTGAAGAAAAATGAAAGACTAACGGAGGGTACAAACAGATACACTATTATACCACCCTCAGCTGTTGGTAGCACAATGGCAGGAGATCAATTCTCCATTTGGTCAGACAAATCAACTCCAGAAACTGAACAAAATGAGTGGGAGACTTGTGCAGGACACAAGTCTGCAAGTAAAACACAAGTTCATCTAACAGCCCACAGCCCAACAACCTACCAGTTTGACTTTTACAACAACAACAGGACAGATTATATGCCCACAAACCAGTTCCCCTCATGTAGAGATCCCAGTCCTGGTAGGAGCCCTAACCCATCTGGTGGTTATCCTACTCAGTTCAGGAAATCCGCATCCAGTCCCAGGAGCCCCTTCTCCCCCTTCTCCTCTCTTTCCCCACTCTCCCCATATTCCCCACCTGACGTAACAGATGACAGTGTCTTCTACAGCCCAAAGCTGCAGCATCGCAGAGAATCCTTCTCACCATGCGAGCCAGGAGAGGGAATCAGCCTGGGGGGTTCAAGACGAAGCCGGGTGTCCACAGGTCCTCCAAGTGCAGGTCCAGGACCGGACAATGAGCGTTTGACATCCTCATATGCAGACTTAAAGTATGGCATTGAGCCTGGAAGGTCATTTTCTGTGAGCTCTGTACTTTCCAGTCGACCCTCAGGGCCTGGACGCATCTCTACTGGATCCAGATTCAAGAGTGTAGGTGACCTTTCTGAATCTTCCTTGGCTTGTGGAGGCACTGACAAAGACAGGGATCAGTGGTCTTTCACAGCTGATTGGACCACATTGGAACATGAAGGCCAGCCTCCAAATAACTGTAGTATGCCATATTTCCCCAGTGACCCTGGTAAAATGAGATCAAGATCTCTTCCTCGATCACTAACCAGGCGCTTGGCAAACTGGAGCTCAGGAGTCTCAGTTTCTCAAACTTTAACCACCAAAGCCTCAAAGCCAGTCCACCTGCGGAGCTCTAACACTTGTCACTTTGGATGGGATACAGAGGGCCCCCCAACACCACCTCCAACACCTCCCCTATCACCACTCTCTAGATGCATGTCTAAATCCTCCAGCCTTTCCTCCCCTACATTTCCCAGCTCACCAGGAGTACCACAGTCAGTGGACAGCCAGTCCTCCAGAGGGCATTTGCCCTCTAGAGGTTACATCTCCAGCCTTAGCACCTTTGAGGAGTCTTCTGACAGCAGCTCAGACACAACAACAGATGATGAATATTACTTAGAAACAGGTGAAGGTGAAGAGAAGGAGACAGAATTGTGAAAGCAGAACAAAAGCTGTTTTAAGTCATTCATTCTCTTGGGTCTCTGTGATCCTGGACTTAAAGATTTAGAAAGAGGAGAGAGATCCACTGTCATCTGTCATGTACAGTGACCTGCTGTGGTTATTTACTGAGGTCAATGGGTTGCCTGCATGATTTGCTTTTCAGAAGTGATCGTTGTCGTCATGTTAAATGAGCAAGCATGATATTGTCAGCATAGGTTTAAAGGTGTTTTAATGTACAGTGTGCTGTATATAACTGTGGATCTGCAGTGTAGGGATAAGAAATAATAATTAACCATTTACAGTTCTGACAGTTGCATGGGATTAGGGAGAGATGTACGTCTGTGTAGGTCAAGCAATCAATAATCTAATGTGTAAGGTTAGGCTCTTATCTTTAGGTTTTCATTTCATTCTGCTACTTAACAGAGGTAATATGGATAAATGTGCTATCATGATATTTCATCATCTGTCTTCTATGTTTAAAGATTAAAATTAATTGTGGTAAATGTTGTCAGCATGATGCAAATACAGTTTATTTTCTTAGTGACCTTTTTAAACAGTGTTGCTTTGAAAAAGTTTTGTAGTCTGGGATGAGATACAATCACATTATTATTAACATTTGTTATCAGACATTATAAAGTGCTCTGTACAGTGCCTGTGCTTATTTGGACAGTGACAATCTAAAGTCTCAATAAATCTATTTTATAAATAAATATAATATTTCCAACATTATTTGTGGTAAATTGATTACACTCTTGCTGTTTTGTGTTGTGTCAAATTATTCAGCCTTAACCAGTGTGATTTTTTTCATTGTGTTTCCCATTACAGTCTTTACTTGCCATATTAAGTGAAAAAGTATGTTGAGTGTTGGCATGACAAACAAGACATTCAGTCCGTGATGGCACATTCCTGCCTGCAGGGAGTTTTTCAATTACCAATATTAATCATAATGCTATCTACTCTAAATAGTGTCTGTTGTAGGTGGGGCTGTTCAACAGTTGCTCAACAGTTATTCACATTGTTCAAGTGGGTGTTCCCTTCTGTTCTTAGCTGTGTTAACACAAACTGTTATGGTGATGGTTGGGCAAAACATCCATTAGACTGGGTGTAAAATCATTACTTCACCTGTGTGTTTGGACATTGTGTCCTTGACTTTCTATTCTATGAATTATTTTTCCAGAGACACAGTCACATTGAGACAGTACAGTCAGTGTCAATATTATTTGCCATGACATCATCTGCGACAGGCACGGCCTCTCATCATGTGTCATCATGAGTCTTCTGAGCACTGATTTTGAATCAGTCTTTCCATCTTATGCCATCCTATGGAAAGTGCAGCACTTCCTCTAGTCAACAGCGCTGTTAAAGGCACTAAGCTATGAGTGTGTGGCTAATAAGAGAGACAAACAGATTATCTTCTCTTTTCTACAGTGAAAATCAGCAGTGATATTGAAGTGCTGCAACGGGCTTCCTCTTTTGGTCTTTGGGAGTAGTGTTAGATGCACTTGCTTTGTATCCCAAATGTGCATAAAGCCCACATCAATCCGTGTTTTGTCATTATGACAGAAACCATGTAAAGTCTTTAAAACTGCCCCTTTTTATTAGAAAAATTAAGATTTAAAGGTCATTCTCTGTGTACCTGATTACATAAAGATATTAAGCTGCAGGTTCTGCAGTGAGAGGACAGTGGTATCAGCTTTCACTCCATAGTAAACAGTTTTTCCTCATGGCAATCTACAGCACTGTGCATGGTCATGGTGGCATCAAACAGCCTGGGTATGTAGTGTTTCTCTGTGTGTGTACATGTCTTCTTTTGGTTGTGTGGACAAATTTTAGTTTGAGACCATCGTGAGGACATTTTGCCTGGTCCTCACACCTTCAAAGGGTTCTTTGAGGGTTCGCACTTGGTTTTCGGGTTCAGGTTAGGGTTGGAATTCAGGAATGCACATGTCAACAAGTGTCCTCAAAATTCATGTATCTGTGTGTGTGCATGCTTTTGCTGTGCAGAGCAGATCACAGTTGCAGCTGTTAAAATTGAAACAGAGGAGCTCATCAACAGAAGAGCAGAAGTAGAATAGAATGGAAAGCTTTTATTGTCATTGCATTTAAAATTCAACGAAATTTAGAGTGTTCCTCCTGATTTGTGCATGCAAGGTAAAAAAGAACACATTGCACACGAGAGAATGCTTGCACACAATATGTCACACAGTTGAAAAAAAAACAAAAAAAAAAACTTATTAAATAGATAAAAGAACAATAAAGTGGCAGTCTTCAGATTGCACCAAACTGCATAAACCGGATGATTTAATTTTCAAGGTAAAATACAGTACAATTTTATTTGTATAGCACCTTTCAACAAAGTGCTTTACTTAAAACACACTGTAAGACTTAAAGATATTAAATAAAGCAAAACATCAAAAGTAGAAAATTGGTATTTTTTTTGTATTTTATTTCTGTGCATTCCATCTTTGTAATAATTCTCTGTAATCAAACACAAGGCAGTAAAATAATTTTGACATGTAATCAGTTAATATGTTACAGTTCTCTTATCTCTGGCTTTTCCTGTTGTTCTACTGTATTTTGGTGGCAACTAAATTTTTAAGTGTTGAGTTTGTTACATAGGAACAAATGTATTTTGAATGTAATAAGTGATTTTGAATCCACTGATGAACATTAACCACTACACTGGGCAGATGTGCTACTCATTCAAAATAAAAGATATTAAAAAATAAACTATGCATTTGATGCAGTCACAGATATGTCACCTTGTTTTTCTTTAAGAAAAGCTATTAAGACATACAATTCTTTCATAAAATCTTAAGGCCCCTTCACTTTTTTCACATTTTATTATATTGCTGCTTTATGCTAAAATCATAAAAATTTCTTCCCTCATCAATCTACACTCAGTAGCCCTTTGATGACGAAGATAAAACAGAATTTTAGATTTTTTGCACATTTACTAAAAACACAAAAATGAAATATCACATTGGCATAAGTATTCAGACCCTTTACACTGTACTTAGTTGTAGTTACACCTTTGGCAGCATTTACAGTCTCAAATCTTCTTGACATGACGAGCTTTCTACACATGGATTTGGATTTACTGCCATTCTTCTCTGCAGATCCTCTCAAGCTCTGTCAGGCTAGATGGGGACCATTGGTGGACATGTCTCTGTACGTTTAATTGGGTACACGTCAGGGTTCTGGTAGAGCTACATCAGGATATTTCTTCTGGTAATTGTCCTGTTGGAGGGTGAACCCCTTAGCCTAGTCTGAGGTCCTCGATGCTCTGGACCAGGTCCTCATTAACGATACTCTGTACTGTGCCCTGAGAGGTCTGCCTGTCCCTGCCACTGAAAAACACCCCAACAACCTGATACTGCCACCACCTTGCTCTACTGTTGGGATGATATTGTGAAGGTGAGGAACTGTGCATGGTTTCTTCCAAACATGACACTTAGAATTGGAGCCAAACAGTTCAATGGCTTCATCAGACAAGACAGAATCTTGTTTCTCACAGTCAGTTTCTCAGTTTCTCAGAGTCCTTTAGGTGCTTTAGGTGCACATTTCCATTATTTGTTACCCATACACTGCTGACACTGCTGATATCTTGGTTTGTTGCTACCCTTTAGCTTTGCTTAATAAAACCGTTAAATGGTGACATTTGTGAAAGTTCACACTATTGCGAGAAGGAGCCACCTTGTAACAGACCTTATATAGACAGGTGTGTGCTTTTCCAAATCATGTACAATCAGCTAAATCTACCACAGATGGATTAAAAAAAAATCTAAATTTCTCTTTTCACTTTGTCATTATTGAGTGTAGATTGATGAGGAAAAAAATCAATTCAAATGATTTTTAGATTTTCTGAATGAACTATTAAGTATCTTATACAGTTACCATGGATCCCATATTAAATATTTAACAGGATTTTATTGATGTTCCTTATTTGTGTTAAGTTTCCCTTTTTAACATGACTATGGGGAGATACATCTTTGTGAGTGGAGCTCTTGTGCTGCTTTATAAGTTTACACTGTCCAATGTCAGTCACTTGGTTTCTTTTTTTTCCTTCTTTTTATTTTTATTATTATTATTATATACTATATATTATTATTATTATTTTTTATATAATAAGCATTCATCCTGTATGAGCGTACAGTTTAAGAAAAGAAGCTTTTTACTGCAACAATCAGAAGAGAGCAGGTACCCTGTATGTGACTTTTTTCACTCAATACCTTGATCTGTTCTTTATCAATTCATCACGCTGCGTAATAAGTCTTTCTTTGTTGAAGCTCATTTTCAGCTGTGCAGTCAGCTGCTCAAACTACCACCACTACAGGATTTTGTCTTTCAGAACCAGGGAGCAAAGGTTTGGGCTCTTCTCTTTTCATGTCAAAACATGTTTTCATTTTGTGTTTTGGAAAATGTTGTCAGGAGGTACTGCATGAGCTTTGATTACAGTTACTGCCGCACAGTGCAGGGCTTTATTTTCTTCTTTGTAGTTTAGTGATTCACTTCTTAGTCTCTTCTTTAAAATTTTTTCGGTTCTCCTCCAGGGTGAGTGTGTAAAATACAGGAAGCAGAAAATGGTGGTGCATTCAAAACTCATTTATTCTTTATTCCACTCATGTTGCACGGAGAATAAAGAAACTTAAACACTACAATTAAACACTATTCTTGAAGATCCAGTTAAAGGCTTCACTCTTCATCATGTGATTTCTGTACAAAGAAAACAAGATTAGAAAAGATTCCATGACATAATTCTTAATTACATATAGCATCTCTCTGGATCATTACTGACCTTAGCAACAGAGTCTCGGCTCTTGGCTCTCAGCTTGTTGACCTGGGACTCTGCAATGTCGGCCCTCTCCTCTGCTTCCTCGAGCTCATGCTGCAACTTTCGCAGCTTGCTTAGATTTGTGTTGGACTGTTCTTCCTACAAAATCAAGATTAGTGTGTGAAAATTGTTAAATTCTGACTGTAGCTTGGGACTAACCCATAAAAAGAAAAAGGACAATGTTTTCTTAAACAGTGGTGTAGTATTTTAGCTTACAGCCTCCTCTGCAGCCCGCTTGTATGACTTGACTTTGAGTTGAAGTTTCTCCACCAGGTCCTGCAGGCGGCTCAGATTCTTTTTGTCCTCCTCTGTCTGTTTAATTAATTCAGAAGAAGTATTTGCTCAGTATCAACATTTTCATATTTTTGCTGAATTGTTATCACAGAAAATATGCATCTAGAGGATACCTGGTAAGTGAGCTCTTTGATGCGTCTTTCATACTTGCGAATTCCTTTGACTGATTCACCACTTTTCCTTTGCTCCATATCCACCTCATTTTCCAACTCTTTCACCTTGAAGCATAAGATATTAATCACACTTTTACAAGTTTGTTCAAGGCAGTAAAGCCTGAATTGTACACTAGTATGCAAGATAACACAGTGGGAATCAGAAGTATTTACCCTGGCCTCGAGCTTCTGGACCTGCTTCTTTCCACCTTTCATGGCTATTTGCTCAGCTTCATCCAGACGATGTTGCAGGTCTTTGATGGTTTGCTCCATGTTTTTCTTCATACGCTCCAGGTGAGCACTGGTGTCCTGCTCCTTCTTCAGCTCCTCCGCCATCATGGCAGCATCAGTAATGGCCTTCTTGGCCTTCTCCTCAGCATTTCTGCACTCCTGCACAGCCTCCTCCACCTCATTCTGAAGTAGGGTGGAGTCTCCCTCCAGCTT